CCCTGTGTCCATCTCTCCATGCACTCCTGCCCCCTGAGCTGTCTCCCTGTGCATAAACAGCCCTTCTTTCTCCCATGATTGTTCTCTCCAAGGGGTGTATCTACCTCAGGTAAATACTCAGCTCCTACGCCTGTCTTTTGTTTGGCTGGAAGCCACAGGTGTGGGTTCAATTCCAGACCTGAAGGGCAGCTAGGGGACACAGTCTCAGTGGTTCCACCAGGCTCTATCAGACCAGCAAACCCGGTCCCCCCACCTTTTTAAAAAATGATTTTGAGTTTCGTTCCACATTGTTCTCCCTCTCTAAGTAGATGATCTCTTAATGGATATTTTATAGAGGTAATTCAGCATGGACTATGTGTCGCACTGCAGTGATATTTAAGGTTTCTTTCAAGCTTAGAAGTCTAGGATTCTGTACATATCTCCCTAAATAAGGTAACAGCCCATAATGATAATACAGGTAAGCTGTCAGCAATGATAGCTACCAAATGGAACATAGAACTTGAGTTCTATATAGAACCGTCTTTATGAGTCTAAAATGAAAATATATCCTCTTTCCTGCCAATTAAGACTGTACTTGTGTCACTGACTGTTAATGTTTCAAAAAGAAACCAAATACATACACAGTTTTCTTTTGTAATTCCAGGGGTGTCATAAAACCAGTGGGCATCTTTCACATCTTGTGGGGTCAATTCTACTCGTTTGGTGGATTTGTCTACAATCTTAACAGGTTCATTTCCCATGTCAAAAGCAAGTGAATCAGCATCAAACTCAAAGGCAGCTTCATCCTTCAGTTCTTTTGAATGCAGGAATGTTCTTCCAACTCGTCCTAGAACAAGTCATACTGACATTATCATCACTCCTTTAAAGCTTTTGACTCTACACAGGTAATTTTTATGTTTGCCTCAAACAAGTTACTAAGACTAAATTACAGTATATGGAAATAAAACACGATGCTTACCTTTGCTTTTTTCCCCAAAGGCAAGGAAAGACAGTTCACTGTTGCAATGATCAAGTGTGTGACTAGTTGTGCACGGTGTTGGAAGTAGTGTTAGTGTTGGAAATCAAATTGTTTTCAGTAAAGTAAGGCTGGAAAGAGATACCAAGGAAAGGAGGCCAGACAACAGTTGCTGCATGGAGTCAACAACTTCACCACCCGTAATGGTCTGCACGGAAGAGGGTGTATTGGGGTAAATATTTCTACTGCTGACATTGGCTACGTGGGCAGCTATTGCATGCTTTCTTTTCTAGATTCCTCCAAGTAACTATGGTCTCAGTATTTCCAGCATTCTGACCTCTGAGTTTCCAAACAGGAGTCTTGCTTCTGAAGGGCCTGTATGTTCTCAAAACTGGCTAGCCATAGACAGTTGTATTTCAAGTTGCTCACAACAAAGTCTTTTAGCAGAGATCAACAACTGTTTTCCTATTAAAGATGCTTACCTACTACATAGCCATGCTTTTTCAAGAGATTAAGTTGATTTTGTTCTTGCTTAGTAAGATCTTCTTCCGCTCTGGATGCTTCTCTTTTAAGCCTCTTTTGCCTTTCAAACATTCTATAAGGAGTTGGATTGCAAATAGGAAATTTCAGAAGGTTTAATGTAGTACCTGAAAATACCAAACAATGTTTTTATAAACACCGTAGTGAAAAATGGAATGTGGGGCACCAATGTTTTTGAGGAGCTACACCATGTTGGGTACTGTGATTTAACTCACTTAACCTCCGTGACAGCCCTCTATAAAATTATTCCCCTTTTACAGATGGAGAAACAGGCTCAGAGATTGGCTGAGGATTTGAATCCAGAACCTGCAGATTTGATTTCTTTCCATTTTCACTATGCATAAAAGCATATTCCTGCATAATTCAACTAAAATTCAAGACAGAGAAAGAAAAAAGTTCCCCAAACTTTGTTTTTAAAGGAACAACGGAGGCAGTTAGTACTTAGGAATGAATAAACCAAAAAAAACACACAAAACCTGTTGCTTTCCAGTCCATTTTGACTCAGAGAGACCCTACTGCCAACTGTTAAATACTAACAGGTCACAGAAAGGCCTATTTTCTCATTACAGAAAATAATCCACAAAATTGACCTATCTTCCAGACATGAGTCACACATCACATTAGTGACTTTTTCAAATGTGAAATGTGTAAAGCACAGTGACCTAATGAATAAAGTCAAGATATGAGGAGTAGGACTGAAGAAGGGTGAAGCTTCAGAGTAAAAAGAAGCATGACTTTTCAGAGAAACATGGCAAGAAACTACATGGAAAATTCCAAGAGAGCAGGAAGTTTGCTTTGTTCCCTGGTGTATCTCCAAGTGCCTAGAACAGTGGCTGGCACATAGAAATGCCCCATAAATATTTCCATCCAAAAACTACAACAATACGTAAGATTCTCCAAGCACTTAGCTGACTCAGGAAAGGCTTCAATCACCCTCTGGTGAACAAGATGTACTAAATGCCCGTGGCCGCGACCAGACGTCTAACTTCTCAGAAACAGTAGGGGCGAGCCTCCTAAGACTCACCTGGCCAGGGGGAGATAGTGGCCCTGTCGATGGCCTCAGCGCCCTTGGCGATGCAGTAATCGGATTCCAGAAGTGTGTTGAAGAGAGTGGACTTGCCAGCGTTGGTGGCGCCCACCAGGTAGACATCGCCGCGGTAGCGCCAGGAGCGCTGAAGCGCGGAGATTAACTCTTCGACCCCATAGCCGGTCTTGGCGCTTATCAGCCGCACATCCCTGAGTACCCTGAAAGTCCGGGCTGATGGATTCGTATTCTCCTCCTCCTCCCCAGCCCCTTCGCCGCCGGGGTCTTGTGGCCCTCTGTGGCTCTGAGGCGGCAGGAGTCCGGCGCGGGCACAGTCATTCCACAGACGCTCCCGGAGCCGCTGCAGGTAGCCAGGAGCGTCCTGGGGTAGCAGGTCCACCTTGTTCCCCAGTACGATCAGTTGTTTGGGTCCTACCAGCGCGGGCAGGTCTGGCAGCAAGGTGTCCGGCAGGTCGAGCAAGTCTACCATGTAGAGCACCAGGGCGGGCCCCGGCCGTCGCAGCGCGACGCTCACTAGCTCCAGGTACTGCTCGCGAGTCACCTGCAGGCGCAGGGCGCGCCGGTGGTGCACCAATAGCCAGCAACGCTGGCACACGGTCCGCGCCAGCCCCCCGTCGGCCTGCGCCAAAGCGCTAAAGAACTTCTCGCTGGGCAGGTAGCCGGGCACGCCCGGGTCCTGGCAGTGCAGTTCTGCCCCGCAGCCTGAGCAGTTCACGCCGCTGGGCGGCACTGCCGGGTCTGGGTGCCCCAATACTGGGTTCACCCGGCGGCTGGCCCGTAGCTTCAGCTGTCGTCGCTCCTCCCGCTGCTGCTGCTTCTGTCGCTCCTCTTCCTCTTGCCGCTGCTGCAGCTGCTGCAGCTCCTCTTCGGGGGTCGGCGCGGGCTCCGGTTCCAGGATGTACTCGGGGAAGAGAAAACGTTCGTCCATTTTATCGCTTCCTCTGTAGTCCCCAGTCGCCGTCGAGCCATGCGAAAGCCCACATCCCAAGCCCGAGGGGTGCTGGAAAGAAGAGGCAGCTGCGCATCCCCTCTTGAGCAGCTGTTCCTGGTGACCATGGCGCGTTATCGCGGGAGCGAACGCCCGCAAGGAGTGCAGCCATCCGCGTGTTAAGCGTGCGGGCAGCATGAGCAACAGGCCCTTAGTTAAAAGGGCGGAGCCACGTGCGCACAGGCGTACTCAAAACCGAAGCACAAGGCAAACACCAGCCGAAAGCCCGTGGGTTCCTGGGCGCTGTCACTCTGGCTCCGCCTCCCGCTTCTAATCCCGTGAGATCTCGCGATTGGACGTCTTTGAGGCCTTTGAACCCGCTGGCATAGTGCCTAAGGCTTTTGACTGCTAATCAGAAGGCTGGAGATTCAAAGCCACCAGCCACTGCTTTGAAGGAAAGTTGGGCAATCTTTTTCTGCAGTGATACCACCTCGCAAACCCGAGGAGGGATCGTTATGAGTCAGATCTTACTCGACTGCAGTGGTTTTTTTTCTTTTTTTTTTTTTTTAAAGCTGCGGCAAACCCACCTGGAACCTAAATACTGACTTAGCCAGCACAAGAGGGTAGTAAGCCCTTTGACTTTGTTCACTTTCAGGCTCCTTCAACGTACCGCTGGTGGCACACCCTGCTCTTAATAAATAACATTTTAAAATTTGCGTGGTTTTTGGTCTTTGAAAGTGCAGAAAATAAAGCATTGAGTGTTGCGGAATCACATCTGCATAAAGTCTTACATTAATAAATTTTTTTAATGAAAAAATTTTATTGGCTTTTTCAGGAATCATTATCAGTGCAACAACACTAAAAATGCACACAAAAGTGCACCAGTTGAATCCGACTCTTGAGCCGAGCGGACATCGTGGGCGCTGCCCCACCACTCGGGCACTAGAGGCGTCGTTTTACAATTTGCGCGTGCGCAAATCTAACCCACGGCGTTCGTCTCTACCATTTCCGCAAACGCAGTTCTAGCAGCAAAGTCTCTGTGGGAGGCCTTTGGTGTAAAACGCATAGTATTCTGGGAACGCCGGAGACGGAAATCAGTCTTTCTCGCTCTCGGGTTGCTGGTGGTTGTTGCGTGCCTATCTTTGTAATTTCAAGAGTTGGGCGCTCGGAAATCGTTTGCCAATATGTACGACGCTGACGAGGGTAGGTGACTACTCAAATCTCACGCCACGGCAACCGAGTTAGGGAGGGGAATTTGGGGAGGGAGGGATTGAGATTTTGTGGCCGACCCCTGCCATCCGCACAAGTGCCCCCAGTGAGCCTCCAGGCCGAGAACCAAGCTGGGATTGCCACAGGTGCAGGTTGCAAGGAACATGGCGTTAAAGTTATTGGTCAAATGATTGTAGTTTTCTTTTCCCTCTATCACAATCCTGTTAATTGTGGTATGTATTGCAAAAGCATGCAGAACTGTAAGGCAGATGTTGTTTTTACGAGCCCTTGATTTTCGTTAGGGCCACGGTTAGTCTGTTTATCGACTAGTTTAATTTATCAGTGTCATCCTTGTGGCAGGCATCGTGCTAGGCTGTGGAAATACACTGGGGACACAGAGTTTAGTGGGGGCGGGGGGACGCGGATCTAGTTTGGTGTTCCTCCTGCTATGTTAAGTCTAAGCAAATGGTCTTAAAAGGTGCCTTTTAAACTTACTCTTCCCACAAAGTGACATAGTTCTCACGTGGTATACATTCTACTGAACAGGTCCCATATGTTGTTTTCTTTTCATATAAAGAATTTGCAGTCGTGTCTAGTGTATTTTCATGTTGTGTTTTGAAGCTCTCCCTTCTATTCCCCGCAGCTACGATTGCAAACTTCGTTCTCCTCCAGCTTCCTATTCTGTGGCCTCCCCTTTGGTTGTCATTCTCTCAATGGCTTCATGGAGAAAATAGAAACAAGAGCTTAATCTGCTGTAATGATTCTGTCTCCTTCATATCTTGGGTGTAGAAGTTTATTAGTATCTTTATGTTCCCTTTTCTTCTTAAGTCATATCTCAGAAGAAAATTTTAAAGTTTTGTTTTTGAGTAAATATAAACATGTTAAAGTGTCTGTTCTCATCCCTGTTCACCAACTGCCTGTATTACTCCAGAATTTCTTTTATGCATATTCAAGCAAATATAAATGAGATTCTGTGGAGCAGTTCTTCTCTGTTCCATAGGGACACCGTAAGTTGGAATTGACTCAACAGCAACAAGTTTTTGTTTTTCTCTCTTACTAGCATTCACAGTTTTTTGCATTTTTATCTTTTGCTTAATAACTTCAGTAGTTTTTTTTATTAGTATTATAGAAAGCTTCATTTTTTTTTCTCCTCATAGCTAATTAGTTTATATGAATGCACCATAACTTAATAGTCTGTTATTGATGGACATTGGTTATTTCCAGTGTTTTATATGTTGTTTTACTTTCATACAAGTATATCAGAAACCAAACTCACTGCCGTCGAGTAGGATCTGACTCATAGTGACCCCTCCTTGGGTTTCCAAAACGGTGTTACTATGGAAGCAGAGTGACCAGTCTTCCTTCTGAGGAGTGGGTGGTGGGTTTGAACCACTGGCGGCCTTCTGGTTAGCAGTCACATGCCTTAGGCACTACGCCACCAGAGTGTCTAGGATACATTCCTGGATATAGAGTATCATTTTGATAGATTGGGCTAAGTGACCACCATGGTGATTGCACTAATTCACATTCCTATTAGCAGTGTATAATAATAATGCTCATGGGAAAAGAATTAAAGTTATTGTATCCAGGAATGTGCTAGCACTGAGTTTATATTCCATGCTTGTCTGTGTCCTTTATAATCTACTGGATATCCTCTCATCAGTTTTCAGATACTACTTTCCTCTATGGTGTTAATGCCACTGCTTGTCTGTCAGTTTGTCATGCTGTGGTAGCTTGCATGTTGTTATGAGGCTGGAGACTATGCCATCAGTATTTCAGATGCTAGCAGGATCATCCCTGGTGGACTGGTTTCAGCAGAGCTTCCAGACTAAGACAGACTGGGAAGAGGATGGGGTGATCTACTTCAGAAAAACTTGGCCAGTAAAACCCTTATGAATAGTAGTGAAACACTGTCTGATATATTATTGGAAAACTTTATGAATATCCCTGACACATTGTCTGATAATCTGTCCTGGAAGAAGTGTAGCCAGAATTCTCCTTGGAAGTGAGAATGGTCAGACTTCCTGTCATCTACTTTGGTCATGTTGTCAGGAGGGAACATTCCCTGGAGAAGGATAGGATAGCATGCTTGGTAAAGTGGAGGGTGAGTGAAAAAGGGGAAGACCCTCCACGAGATGAAGTGACACAGTGGCTGCAATGAACGATGGGATAAAGTATAGCAAGGATTTTGAGAATGGTGCACGATGGGGCAGTGTTTCGTTCTGTTGTACATTGGGTCACTATGAGTTGGAGCTGACTCGACGGCATCTAACAACCACTGCTACTATCCTGCTGGCTTCTTTCTGAAATATTAGAAATCATTCACAAGAAAACCAGTTAAACCCTCTTTTCACTGATTTCCTCTTTTAGTTTTCAGTATTTTGTCTTTCTGCTTCCATTCACAGCCAAGTGTCTAAAAGGAGTAGGCTCTACATGTTTACAATGCAGTTCAGTTTTTACTCAACCCATTACAATCCGATTCTGCTCCCATCACTACATTAAAACAGTTGTAAATGTTATCAGTGACTTTTCAATTAATAAATGACATGAACGTTCTCTAAACCTTATCTTTTTTTTTTTTTAATTGTGATTTGGGTGAAAGTTTACAGAGCAAATTCACTTTCCATACAGTATTTCACATACTTTGTCTTATGACATTGACTGCAGTGTCCCACAGTGTAACAGCTCTCTTCCCACTTCCTCCTCATAGTTATCTCTTCCCTGTGTCTTTCCCTCCCATGTACTCCTGCCGCCCCAGGCTTTCTCCCTGTGCATACACATCCCTTCTATTCTCCCATGAGAGATCTCTCCAAGAAGTGTTATCTACCTATTATAAATGTTCAGCTCATATGCCTGCCTTTTGTTTTGGTGGAAGCCACAGGAGTGGGTTCAATTCCAGACCTGAAGTGCAGCTAGGGTCCAGAGTCTCAGGGGTTCCACCAGGCTCTATCAGACCAGCAGACTTTTTTTTTTTTTTTTTTTAATTATTTTGAGTTTTGTTCTACATTGTTCTCCCACTCTATCCAGGATCTCCTACAGAGATCCCCCTCTAGGTGGTTGACAGTGGTAGCCAGGTACCATCTAATTCTTCTGGTCTCATAGTCATAAAGGCTGAAGATCGCATGGTGTACCAGTTGCTTGGACTAATTGTTGCCATTTATCTTTGGTTTTCTTCATTCTTCTTGGCTCTGGACGAGGAGAGATGCATCGTTGCATCTTGATGGCTGCTTGCAGGCTTTTAAGATCCCAGTTGCTATTCGTCAAAGTAGGATGTGGAACAATGTTTTTATGTTGTATGTTAGGCCAATTGAGCTTGATGTCTCCTGTGACCGTGATTTAAACCTTATCTTGAACCCTCTCTTATTTGACATTGTTGATGACTTCCTCCTGGACACTTCCTCCTCCATTTTGCTATATCACTTTCACTTGGTTTTTCTTACCTCTTACCTGACTTTCCCTCACATTTTCTTCCACTGATATTCTCATTAGGTGATCTTATTCCTTTTCTAGAACATCAATTATCTCTTATCCATTTTCAGATACTACTTTCATCTATGATGTTAATGCTGTATATGGATGAATTCTGAATACATATTTCCAGCCCAAATTTCATGCTGCATATTTAACTGCCACTAGACAACTTTATTTGAATGTCTCTCAGGCTCTGTAAGCTCATCATCACCCATACTGAGCTTACTATTTTCTTCTACCCATATCCCTTCCAAAGCAGCCACCTCCTGTGTTCTCCATCTCGGTGAATGGATGGATTTCTCCATTCATTCCTCTCACTTACTTACTCTCCACCCTCCTCTTACTCAGAAGTGTGAGGATCGCTCTTGATTCCCCTCATTTGCTCTTACATCTACTCAATCACTGAACCCTGATTGATGTGTCACATTTGCTCATTTCTATGTCCTCTGCCA